CTTTCATTATCTGAAAGCACTGCCATCACCTTCTGGCCAGCTCTTCCTCCCGTGGGGAAGAAGAGCATAAACAAGAGCTGTGACCTTTCTCATGTGCATATCCCAGCTTAGAATGCCCACATGTTGACGTATCAAGCCTTACAATATTTCTCTCTATTTTCTTTAATGGGATACTGAGGTATCACAGTGTGCTGCAAAAGACTACATCCTTTTCTTTCTCTTTTCTTCCCTTTAAGCTCATTTGGTTAACATTTCTATAGTGCAAATTAAGGAGTACATTCCTGGCTTCACATTGCTTCAGACTTCCACATAGATGCTGATGATTTTTTTAATGCGTTGTAAGAAATATTAAACAAGTAAAATATCCAATTAAAACCTATTTACTAAATACCATATAAAGACTGAACACAGTATCACAAACAGTGAAAATGTGAATGGGTTGCTAATTCTGAACAAAGTCTCTTTCACAAAAGGACATTAACTTTCTACTATTTGCTTCAAAAGTCCTGTCACATTTGTATTCAGCTAACTTAAAATCTAAAATTATAAAAAGCTGTAAATGACCCTTTCTATATAAAACCTTGTGAATAAATACTATCTTAGTTTACACTCTTACTGCATTATACATAATGTTCTGCATTATTTTAGTTTTTATAATGGGGTGGGTCATCATTTGAGTAATTTTAACTTCTGACAGAGCATTATCATTTTCTTTCCTCTTCTTCCACTAATCCCAAATGAATGTAAAAAACCCCACAACATTAATGGTCTGCAGAGCCTCTCATACCAACACTGTTCTTAAATGCAATTAAACCAAGGCAACCAAAGAATTTCAGAATCACTCATGAAATAACTAGATTGTCTCATCTCTTTCTTAATATTGGAACTGAAACATTCATGTGATTCTGTGCAGTGGATATTGATAAAACAAATTTGTAAATACTTATCCTGTAAACTTATGTTATTATGGCACAAAATTAACCTTGCAAACTGTAGAGGAAGTATAAGCAGGATCTAGCGGGAAATTTACTGGCAGGCATTGCTCTCTGGATAGAAGGAGTATAAGGCAAACGTCCTCTTGCTGTCATGGCTGAACATAAAGAATAATGCAAGATAATGAGACAGTGCTGAGAACTCCTTGATAAAATAAACACAATGTGTTTTGGTATTTGTAATGTACAAGAGCAGAACTGAGTTTCCCACTGCATTAGAATTAAAGTGGAATTTCTGTTTGCTAATGTTCCTTATGAGAAGAGACAGTTTTGAAAACTCTCATGATTACACATATACACACACATTTTCAAGTCTGTATTAATTACAAGGAGGTCAGAACAATGAAAGCAGAAGTGTGCCACTAAATCAGGCTGGTCCTGCTAATAAAAATGGAGGTCATTGCTGCTATTATTTCCTCTTCACAATAAGTCCTCAGTTAATTATCTTTTATGTCCAAAGATTCTAGCTCAAAAAAATGTAAAATTAGAAACAATTCATATAAACCCACCTCATCAGCTGCAGTTGTCTTAATTTTTCCCTGCCCTTTCATCATTAACACTGTGACACTGCATTTGATTACTTCACCCTGGAAGAGTTGTAAAGTCCAAAAGACTATTTCATTGTCCAGGTAAATTAGCCTGTGTGAGAGCCCTGGTCAGCAGAAATCTTTCCAAAGGGCACACATGATGATTGTATGAAAATAAATAAATGCAGGTATCGGCAAATGAGTAAAGAAAATAATGTATTTGGGGCAGAAAAATGTAATTAGGTGTGAAAAAATACATTCCTAAATTAGAAATTACATTTCTACTTTTACTTCTGCAAGTTAAAATTAAGTTTACAACTTTCTTGTAAGAATAAATATTTTAAATACATACTTATGAGTACTGCAGGCCTCAAGAAGCCCCCACAGTCTTTGCCATGATTTAGACTGGGATAAAAATTACCAAGAGCAGCAGCACACCACTTTTGCACAGCTGGTATTGTAAGCAGCATGCGGCCACTCTCCTCGCCAAGAAATCCTGGAGAATATTTCTCAACTCATATATACTGCAGATAAAGCAAATACCTGTGTTTGTTTCCAAAATGGTACTTTGCTGCAAAGTGTTTGACAGAGTAATACCCGACTTGTCCCTTTTCTTCTAGCTGCAAGGGAACATGTCCCTAGGGTAACAAACAAGCACTGCTAGTAACAAGGATCATCCCCACTATTTTTAAGAGGTCTGTACATGCAGAAGCCTGCTGAAGAGATTAAAAGAGGCAAGGATTCTTCACAGGAGGCCTTTATGAAACCTACCCATAACAAAAAAAATAAAAATAATTTTAAAAAAAAGTATTACAGCTAAGTAACTGCTTAGCAGAATGAAGCAAAAAATATAAAACATGATGTCTTAACCTAAAAGAAACAACTCAACACTGCAGCAAATTGACACTTACCAGAATGAAACCTGGAATAAAATGTTAAGATACTGCAAACCTAAACTAAACTTCTTTTAACCGGCTAAAGGTTCAAAGGTTGGAAGTGTTAAAAAATCCACAATAGGCCTCCTAAAGCTCATCAATACCTTTGCCTCTTTTTCTTGGGCTTTTTCTTTTGGTTAAGCTACAGAATGAATTTTAAGAGATTCCACTGTCTCAAAAGATTACATCAGAAAAAGGCTGGAAGAGAAAGAGCAGTGATAGTTACCCTACCACAGAACTGGTTTCATATCAACTATGGTAATGACACAATGTAATTTCTTTGACCCCTGCTCTCCCCTCTTTTTCAGAATGGATATTACAGTAAATACGGACATGAAAAAATACTAGTGCCCTTGTGCCATTACTCTTTCTTTGAGTGATCCAATGCAAAAAAACCCCAACAACAACACAAAAAAAACACACAACAAAACAAAACAAAAAATCCTCCCTTTTTTCCCTATGAATTTAGCTGACTGCAACAGAAGTCATGCTGGGCAAGATAAAATAAAACAAAACAACAAAAAATAATACAGAAACACATTTGTAATCCCTTAAGATAAATGCCTAAACATGGGGCCACATTAGGGAAGATAAATTCTGGCTTTAAAGAGGTTGACAATAACCCCAAATAGGATCTTCTAATACAGCAATATCCAGTCCTGACAGGCACTTAAAGATAGCAATGACTCAGAAATGCATGCACATGTCTACCAACATTACCTGTTAGCAGATATAATTCAGTTCGTTCAGCAGCATTGCTAGGGATGGAACTCATTTTTCTTCTTGTTGGGTAGATAACCTAAGCACTGACCCCAAGATAGTTGTGTCACCTCTGCAGTCAGTGGAGAGACACAAGGACATCTGGAAGGCGATTTATTCGATCTTAGCTGAATGTCCAAAATGGCTAGGATCAATTTCCTTACATAAGAAATACCTTTCTCTCTCTCCACTGACCACAAGCCTACGTTTTACTATGGCATCAGGCATTACAGAGGTGAAAGCTCTGAAAGATAACCCTCCACTCAGACCTGGGTTGCTGATACTGCAAACCACAGTCGACTAAGAGCTGGAGCAATTTTAATTATTCACACTCAGCAATGGAATGAATGCACAATCTTACGTGTGTCATAGGAAAACCACCTCTAAATGAGTCTGTTGATTCAGGGGAAGATCATGTGTGCACTTAAACATATGCCTTTGTGTCCTGGTGGCTCAGTTTAGACACCAAAAGAAAAATTTTCACTATGAGAACAGTTGGACGCTGAAATTGTCTCTCCAAAGAAGTGGTGGGTTTCCCAACACTGAACACTTTAAAGACTCAGACCACCTCATCTAAACTGGGTTTCTAACCAGAAAGGTTGGACCAGATGATCCTTGAGGTCCCTTCCAACCTGGCATTCTATGATTTTGCAAAAAACCTTCACACCTTGGCAACTCCAGCTCCCAAGTAAGTACCACACAGGCTGCCTGCATTTTTAGTGCTTTCTACAGCATGCTCCTAAGCAAGCAATGAAAAATCTGAGTTACCACAACTCTCCTGAATTTAACCACCACAGAAGTGGATGAATGCATTTCTTTCCTTGTGTTTGCTGGCAGTCAGGAGGTGTTCAGAACAGAAGTACTTTCTATTACTGGAAACAGAGGTGGTTCCAGCTAAGGTGTTAATCACCAAGTATGTATCTGTCTGAGGACAACCCCACTTGCCAAAAAGCCTGACAGAGCTGGCATGGGCTGTGGAGAGCAGTAGCCTAATGAGTTTTACAGAAGTAAGGAAAGGTTCTGGCAACATTGAGATGGCAGAAGGTAACAGAAGAGAAATGTAAATGATGTTAGCAGTGTTACGTAAGCAGATGCTCCTTAGCAGGTGCTAAGAAAGGTGTAGTTTCAAAAAGAATATTAAAGCTTATGGAACTCATCTGATAGGAGTCTGGCAAAATCACCTACATGATGCACAGAAGGGTTGATTTTTTGTTTTTTCTTTTTTCCAGGAGCTTTTTTCTTTATGCATTTTGTCCAAATATCACCATAATTGAACATAATTTTATACAAAGTATACTCGGAGACACCTTGCTGTTTTTACAGATATCAAAAAGCCCATATTGTCCCCTTAGGAATGTGCACCACTTGGGATTAGGAGATAGTGAAAGAGCATCACACCAGTAAACCAAAGCCTGTCAATCTGCATTGCTGTACTATTTCACTAAACTGAAAGATAAAGCAGCTAAGAGAATGATTCAGTATCTTGCTCATACATCCCAGCAGGAAGGCTTAATCCCATGCCAGCAGGCTGGTAATTAAGAAAAAGCTAACGTTTGTTGGAGTCTAAGAAAAAAAAACCCAACCAAACAACAATCCACACTCATTCACTTGCACAATTTCATCTGCAATTTTTCACTATTAATGGGCATTAAAATTCTGGCACCTTGGTATCACTGTCAGAGACAGCCACGCTTTTCAACCCTCATTACTTCAATTTATGTTATAGGTATATATAAACTTCAGTCAAAAGACAATCAACCCAACTATAAGATTCACAGTTTGCTTACTTTACCACAATATTTCCTAAAGTCTTCACCTTCACTGGTTCCTTATTTTCACCCAGAATCATCACTGCAAAAAAAGGAATATAGGATGAGAACACCTGTCAAGTGGTGTGGTTTTAGGTGGAGGACAGTATCTGTCTTCATTTATATCAACTTATGTCACACTTCAGAATGGCAATACACCAAATAACAAAATCAATTAAGTCACTTGGGAGTTCCAAACTGGATAATCTCATGACCTTATTAACATTCAGCCTTAAATACAAAAAGTCTTATATAGTATTTGTGCTTTGGGAGCAGAAATATATCAAAGACAAAAAGGGAAAAACATAGGATTGAAAATGAAAAGACACCCTCATAATGATCTTAACTTCCAGATGCAAATGACCCTTCAGGAACATGACAAATAGAAGAAAATGCATGCAGGTAACTTGAGTAAGAAACAACTAAAGTTACTGGAGGCTAACCCAGTTAATGTGAGAACTACTATTAGCAGTAAATAACTGCATCTGCTTTTCAAAGGCTTTCAGGAGATCCAGACAGATGCTCTCAAGCTGACAAAGCTGATTCTATTCTAGTACATAGAGGTAAAGTAACTCATGAACTAACCAAAGCTGCGTAGTAGGGTAAAGCTACAGTGCAGCAAAGAATCCAGACCTCCCAACTGGAGCCTCATCCCTGGATCACACTAGACCATCACCTTCAGTGAAAATACTGTATCTTGGTAATGAGGTTTCTGAGGAAAAACACCTGAAACAGCCTCTTCCGTGCAGTCATCTGGGAAATCTATTACTACCATCCATTCCATATGAAGGTGTAGGCATAAGGAACAAATGACAGATACCAATTTGGCTATATCAGACAGAATTAAACAAAGTGAAACGACTGAAACACGGAAAAACAGGGAGGAAATGTTTTGATAGTCCAGGCTGACATGGATTTAGCAACATGCTTTTGGAAGACACCTCAGACAAAGAAAGCAATGTTCAACTGGATCTAAATTAATACAAATAATCTCACATTCTGTATTAAAAAGTTCCAGAGAAATTGGGTTAAAGAGGATGACAGCCTTCTGATTAAAACCCTGTTAAAGCTCTTGTAAGTAATACCATATTCTATCCCTTTGAAGAATGCCAAACATCAGCAATTTACTATTTCTGGGTGAAGCCACTCCTTCAAAGAGGATGGTATTTTTTAAGTAACTGAAGTGCCTGTTGAAAGAAATGGCTCACGGCAGTGACACAAGCAAGTCCACAAGGCCAGTTTTAAAAATTTGTGACTTGAAAGGAGAAACTAAAACTATTGAGGCTCTGAAAATTGAACACATAGCTATAACAGAACACTCAATTGCTAAAAATTGGACTTTATTTGTCTAGTTATCATTTCCTCTTTTGGCAGTTGTTACATTTTTTTCCTGATTTGCCAATATAAATTTCACTGTTTGCTCTCATTTTAAAAAGTGCAACTGTATGTAAAGCCTTACAATACAGTATTTTTTCATATATTTTGTTATATCAAGTGTAGAAGTATGCAGAAGCGCTTTCATATAGTAAAGACAGGAGTTGCTGATCCATTTTCTTGAATATAACTGAATTATTTGCAATCACATTCCATGACACACAAAAAAGCAGAGCTTCCTGTTATAGGAAGGAAGAAAATGTGTTAACAAGATTGTAGTTAGCTTTTCCTATGAAAGTATCATAAATATAAGCAATATTCCTTTCTACTAGCATGTTTAGCACAGTCCTACCATTGTATCCTGGCACTGGTTTCCCTGCCTGTCCAGGTGGAGGTGTTGTAGAGTTCCCCAAACCAACACAAGAAGCAGTAATTGCAGAACCAGATTCTGTTAAAAGAACACAAATATTGTCAGTTAGGACAGTTCTTAGTGTCATTAAGAACTTACTGGTTTTAAGTTTTCCTTCTAGTTCAGCACATCAAAATAATAAAATAAAATCCCAGACAAGCAATGGAAGATTGAAAATTCAGGAGCTTTTACGTACTATCTAATTAATTTGAATTCATTACAGAAATTTGTTTCTTCAAAAGGGAACTTTTTCCATTCCATAGAAGACAGCCAGAAAAAATTGGCATTGCACCTCTAGTTTATTCTGCTATGGGTATAAGGTTATATCACACCAGTGAGAAACCACCAACAGTGAAGGCAAGACAGAAACACTGTGCAGGGCAGGGGCACTTCAAGGGTAATTTCATGAGTATCTTTGGGAAGAATGAATTCCAGATAAAACATCAGCCCATTCTCAATCGATTATCTTATCCTTGTGGAGCAATACCAAAATGACTGTTGTTTGGTTTTGGAGCTACACATTCAGAGGTTTGCAAGGTAAATAAATGCTACATCTTATCCATGACAACACTGGTCAGGAAGATCAGAGAAGAGGAAGTGCTTGACAACATTTACTGTAAATAATGAAATTAGGAGTACCTCTTTTATAATCCTGGAGATCTCACTAGTATTTCTTGGTGACAACTATTTCAGATGATGAAAAGGCTCAAAAACAAATTGTGTAGAAAAGTCAGACCTAAATTTTCAGCGTTACCTAAATAAATTCAACTGGAACAATCTAAGGAATGGGAATCAAACTGCTGCAAGATTTTATAATCATAATCTAGATATGTTTTCCTCCTACCCCTACAAACTTCAAAGGTTTACTAACCAGAACATTTTGGACTTGGTTTCTTTTGGGAGTGCTGGGGGGAGGGAGTAGGGCAAGATGCTTCTGAGCCACAAAAGACTAAGTGTAGGTTGTAAATATTAGCAGGAACACTGTATGAGACTATTACTTTATAAACATGGCTTTATCATTCTGGAGATGTCCCAGGTCTCAGGTCACTTGGCCTGGAATTGATAGTCCACACCACCCTCAAGTGTCAGCACAAGAAAGCAGATTTGTCTTCAGCTTTATATTTGTATCTGATCAGTACGGTCAAAACAATTTTCAGTTCTCTTGTATTAGGAAATTACAGTTAATGTTGCTATGAATTTTCTCAGCTTCTATAGCATTCATCTGCCACTTCAGAAACTGTTAAATGACTATTCGAGTGCAAAAAGAAGCAAGAATGAGAACAAAAATACAGAAACTTGTGGTGGTTTTATGTTAAGTGTTAGTAAGTAGTTGAAAATTAGAATTAACACAGCTTAATTAAGCTAGGCCTAACTCCAGCTGTGGCACACAGAATGAGAATTATGAACCCTCATTGCTAACAAAGGCTAAAAAGTTTGCTTAATTGTTTCCCCACCTTTCCCTGCACCTTCTTTACATAATGCACATTCCCCACACCACCACAGATCCTCATCCTTTCTTCCAAAAAGCAGGAACCCAGGCTACAATTACAGTGGTGACACAACATCAAACTGATCTAACATACCCCACCCATGATCACACTGAAAGTTGCAGGAAGAGAAACTCAAAAGTTTATTCAACAGCTTGGGAGCTTCATTTTCTGCACAGTAACCATACTGAAGACTTTTTTTCCTCTTCTTCTCAGAACAGAGTGAAAATTGTATTTTTTCTTAGAGAACAGTGAATTGGAAAGTACAATGGAGGGGATAGTTTCTTTTTTGATGGTTAGGAGGAAAAGAAGTGGTAGCACGAAGTGTACCTTGCTTTACATGCTGCATGTCAAGAGCTAAAAACTATAACAAATCAGCTGAAAAAAGTATTCCATCACCAAAACATAGTAATGAGGTTTGTTTCTGAGTGGCAGGGAGCACAACATCACTGTTAACCTGATGAACCAGTAAGACTTGCATGAACTGGGAATTTACAAACATTTCTAATCAAGAGCTCTCAATCCAAAAACCCTGAGGGTAGATGGAAAATCTGCAATTTCTTAAAATTAGTTTGGATTTACTTGAATCTGTGACACACTGCTAATGAAAACAAATATAAACTAGATGGGAAACTTCATCATACCGATTTGCTTGCATTTCTCCTTGCTTTTTGGACAACAGTGAATAAGACCAAATTAAAGTCTACTTAAACTAAAGAAGAATAACAAGTTCTAAAACTTTGTCAATAGATCTTTATAATTGCTCCTATTTTTTTCTATTTTCTTCTCAATTACCAGTGGATACATCATTTTCACATTTACCCAGAGCTGTATATTCAGTTCCCATGGGTCAGTAAGGCTTTTTATATGCATGAAAAAAATACGGCTTTTTGGTGCTTGGACCAGATTGCTAATTCAGAGAGGGAATCCCAAAAGCATCTACTCTCTGTGTTAGGTTAACAGTTCACGAATGCTAAAGATTCCCTTACAATGCACAACAACAAAGGGATATTGTCAAAGGATAGTAGGAATCTTTACCTTGTACGTTTCTTGGGAAATCAAAGCATGTCTTCCAAACAGGATACTGGATTGAAATAGTCATTTCCCAAACCTACCAGAAAACAGCAACCCCTTTCTAGGACAGCATTTTTTAATCACAGAAAAACAGTCTGACTTGGAATCATAGAATCATAGAATCATAGGGGTTGGAAGGGACCTTGAAAGATCATCTAGTCCAACCCCCTGCCAGAGCAGGGTCACCCAGAGCACATCACACAGGAATGCGTCTAGGGTTTTGAATGTCTCCAGCGAAGGAGACTCCACAACCTCCCTGGGCAGCCTGTTCCAGGGCTCTGTCACTCTCACAGTAAAAAATTTCTTTCTGATATTCACCTTGAACCTCCTATGCTCCAATTTGAACCCATTACCCCTTGTCACCCACACTTAATCCCCAGTCCATTAACTGTTGGCCTAGCTTAAATCCCTCTTTCCTCATAATTGATACTTCTTAACTTGTAAGATTCACATCTCAAAATCAGAAGTCAAAGTAGAAAACTAGTATGACTTATAACTTTTAAGTTTATACTGCTGGGCTCATCTACAGCCTCTTGAACATTAGATACAGATAAATCACCCATAAAGCAAAAAAGTAGATACTAAGTCACTCTCCTGAACAGAAGTCAGTTAATGGTGACAGATAAATGTTGCCATCTACAAAAAGTTTTCACCTCCAGTGTTCCCCCAGATTACCTTCTCTGTTTCTCTTCCAAATCTATCAGTCCACTGATAGCAACATGCCTTGGTCTTTGTTTCCAACATTAGACCAAATGTATAACTTATAGAATCATAGAATCATAGAATCATAGAATCTTAGGGGCTGGAAGGGACCTCGAGAGATCATCTAGTCCAACCCCCCTGCCAGAGCAGGGTCACCTAGAGTACATCACACAGGAACTCATCCAGGTGGGTTTTGAATGTCTCCAGTGAGGGAGACTCCACAACCTCCCTGGGCAGTCTGTTCCAGTGCTCTGTCACTCTTACAGTAAAAAAATTTTTTCGGATATTCACCTTGAACCTCCTATGCTCCAATTTACACCCATTACCCCTTGTCCTATCACTGGTCATCACTGAGAAAAGCCTAACTCCGTCCCCCTGACACTCACCCCTTACATATTTGTAAACATTGATGAGGTCACCCCTCAGTCTCCTTTTCTCCAAGCTAAAGAGACCCAGCTCCCTCAGCCTTTCCTCATAAGGGAGATGTTCCACTCCCCTAATCATCTTCGTAGCTCTGCGCTGGACTCTTTCGAGCAGTTCCCTGTCCTTTTTGAACTGAGGGGCCCAGAACTGGACACAATACTCCAGATGTGGCCTCACCAATGCAGAATAGAGGGGGAGGAGAACCTCTCTTGACCTACTAACCACACCCTTTCTAATGCACCCCAGGATGCCATTGGCCTTCTTGGCCACAAGGGCACATTGCTGGCTCATGGTCATCCTCCTGTCTACCAGGACCCCCAGGTCTCTTTCACCTACACTACTCTCCAGCAGTTCAGCCCCCAACCTGTACTGGGACATGGTGTTGTTCTTCCCCAAATGTAAAACTCTGCACTTCCCCTTGTTGAATTTCATCATGTTTCTCCCCGCCCAACTCTCCAACCTATCTAAGTCTCTCTGAATGGCAGCACAGCCTTCTGGTGTGTCAGCCACTCCTCCCAGCTTAGTGTCATCAGCAAACTTGCTGAGGGTACATTCTATACCCTCATCCAGGTCGTTGATGAAGATGTTGAACAACACCGGTCCCAGTACCGACCCCTGTGGGACTCCACTAGTCACACACCTCCAACCAGATTCTGCCCCATTGACTACAACTCTCTGACTCCTTCCTTTCAACCAGTTCCTAATCCACCTCACTTCCTGGTCACCAAACCCATACCTGATCAACTTTTCTACAAGGATGCTGTGGGAGACGGTGTCAAATGCTTTACTGAAATCAAGATAAACCACATCTACCGCTCTACCATCATCTATCCACCTAGTAATTTCCTCATAGAAGGCTATGAGGTTAGTCAAACATGATTTACCCTTGATAAAACCATGTTGACTGCTCTTGATGACCCCCATGTCCTTGATGTGCCTGGAGATAGTGCCAAGAACAAGTTGTTCCATCACCTTTCCAGGGATGGAGGTGAGGCTGACCGGTCTATAGTTACCCGGGTCCTCCTTCTTGCCCTTCTTGTAGACTGGAGTGACATTTGCTATCCTCCAGTCCTCAGGCACCTCACCTGTTGCCCATGACTTACTGAAGATGATGGAGAGTGGCCTAGCAATGACCTCCGCCAGCTCCCTCAGCACCCTTGGGTGCATTCCATCTGGACCCATTGATTTATGGATGTCCAGATTACTCAACTGATCCCTAACCCAATCTTCATCTACCATGTCAAACTCTTCCTCTATCTTGACTTCTTCTGGGGCTATATGAATCTGGGGCTCATAGGGAGACCCTGCAGGAGTGAAGACAGAGGCAAAGAAGGCATTCAGCACCTCTGCCTT